TCATTCCCCAATTTATACTGGAACCTGAGGTCCCCACCTGCTGCCTCACAGGTACTGACCCATGGCTGTTCACCACCGTGAAGACCCTTCTGGAGCGTCCCAGCTGCCCTGAGCTGGTCCCGTAGCACTGGTCCACATGGATCTTCAGGGAGATGCCAGGGCTGGAGTCAACCCTGGCCTCCAGGCGGATGGCAGAGCCCGGGCTCAGCACCAGCCGCTCCTTCACGGCACTGGGGTCTTCTGAAGGGGAAGGGAGAGTGGGTTCAGTGTGACACCCCCGAGCCTGTCCCACCACAAATAGGGGCATCAGGCACATCCAGACCACCAGCCATAAGGGTCTTTGTGTCCATCCTGTGAGGAGGGTCCCTGCCTGCAGCTCCCCCATTTCAAAGCCCACTCCCTGCCCCTGGAAGCCGAGAGTGACACTGGCTCTGCCAACCCAGCCCGGCTTTCCACCCTGCTCTCCAGAGCTACTGTGCTTCTGAGAGGGACCACACCACCCATCAGACTGACAGGGGGCAGCTGACCCCCCAGAAAGCTGGCCATGGAGTCAAGCATGGGACAAGAAACATCTCAGGGCACCATCATTCAAAGCCCTGCACTGTCCACAAGACTGGAAGGGGAGGTCCCACAGGGATGGCCACCGTCTCCTGCTGGGCCCTAGCACTGAGGCCACTTGGCAGAAAGCGCTGGGTGCTGCTGGTCAAGCCCAGGGATCTTGGCTGAGCCCGTCCTGTGGTCTTATCCCTGAAAGCTGGCACCCAGCACAAGGCCCAGAGCACTCACCATCCAGGAGTCTCAAGGTGAAGTTCACGCTGTGCTCCTCAGAGCGGGGGTAAGCACGAGCCCCACCAGGCACAGTGGCAGAAGCAAGCACTGGGGCCGCAGCCCTTGTCCCCGTGCCCAAGGACGCCACTGAAGCCACTGCTGTGTGACTGGAGGACGCTGAAGGGGCTGGAGCCATGGTGGTGCCTGCAGAAGGGAAGGGTTTAGCCAGGAGGGCTGAGCCTGCAGCTGCACATTCCAGGCACCGCAAGGACATCCAGGTCCTCAGGTGTCCCCATGACTCGTGGGGGGCAGGTGAGAGCTCCAGGAGCTCAGCTGGGTTTGGGCACCTTGGGTGCTGCACAAACCCAGTTCCCTCAGCAAATGCCTCTCCCGGCCTTGGTGGCCAGGCCCTGGCATGGGACCACTGTGGTGGTGGGTGCTGGAGGGGGTGCTCTACAGGGGTCTCCCAAAAGGTAAGATGAAGTGTCCCCAGCCACCCCAGCACCAGGCACAGCTGGGAGCATCCCCCAGCACCAGGACCTGCTCATGGGATGGGACACCATTGCCAGCAACCGTGTACCCCACCAGTGGCTCTAGTCACCCCATCCAAACCAGTTCCTTACAGACCTGCTGGGACCTGGGGGCACTGGGAGCTCCTGGCAAGCCCCCTTGCTCCAACCCCACACACCAGCACACAGAGGCCATTTTAGGAAGGCTCCCCTCCACCAAGGGGATCTGCACCAGCACATCCAGGAGGACACCAGGAACCAGCACCAGGCAAAACCAAGAGGCACCTACCACCCCCCTCCACCACAGAGTGGGGACAGAGCGGGGCAGTCGGGGGGTCCCAGCCCCACTCACCTGCCACCCTCAGCACAGCCCCACACACCAGCATCAACCAGCACAGCCCCATCCTCAGCAAACAGCAGCCCCAGCACCTGGGGGCCTTTAAAGACCAGGGCTGGGTGCCAACAGGCCCCAGCTGGTCCTGCTGGGGTCTGGGGATTTGCTCCGTGCTCTGCAGCCAATCAGCAGTCCCACACGAGGGGCTGGTCCCACGCAAGGGGCTGGTCCCACACATGGCTCTGGTCCCATCGCTCAGTCCCTGTCCCATCACATAGGCCCAGTCCCACCACTCAGTCTGGTCCTGCACACAGTCCTGGTCCTGAACAAGGTCCAGCCCCCACTGCATGGTCCCAGACCCACCACTTAATCGTGGTCCCATGCACAGTGCTGGTCCCACCGTGTAGTTTTGGTCCTGTGTGTGGTGCTGGTCCAACCAGTTTGCCCCGGTCCCAGTTGTGTTGCATGGTCTGGTCCCACCATGCAGTCTTGGTCCCATGGATGCTCCTGGTCCCACCTCAGTGGTCCCAGTTGTGTTGCGTGGTCTGGTCCCACCATGCAGTCGTGGTCCCATGGATGCTCCTGGTCCCACCTCAGGATATTGGTCCCACCACACCGTGCTGGTCCCATCATCGTCCCTGTCTCAGTCCTACATATGGTCCTAATCCCACCACACAGATCTGATCCCACCACTCAGCCATGGCCTCATGCAGGATCCTGGTCCTACCACACAGTCCTGGTCCCCAATCCACCATCCTTGTCCTATTATGGTCTTGCTCACAGCCCCAGCCCCTGTCCCACCACACAGTCCTGGACCCATGGTCCCCACTTGGTCCCATTTATTGAGAATGATCCCACCTCTGTGGGCTGTCCTGGTAACTTGGGCACAGAGGTACACAGAGCACATCCCCACAGGGATGCCACTTGAGTTGGGCTGTGCTGCCTACCCGTCACCTCGGAAGGTGGCCAGGTTGGGATTTGGCATGGGCTCCCAGCAGAAGACCTCAGCAAGCCATGGAGACACGTGGAGACTTCAGGGAGGTACCTCGTGCTCTGTGTCCCCAGCGCCCACCCCGGTCTCCATGGGCAGCACCACACACCGCTGATTTGGTGGCCCCAGTGGTGGCTCCAGATGGGCCACTGGGGCTCGTGTCCACCCTGGTACCACCAGTGCTGGTGCTTCGGCTGGAGCAGCACTGGCACAAGTCCCAGGGCCACCCTTGAAAATGGGGCACATCTGCCAGCAGTGGAGCTGTCACCTGGTGGCATGAGTGAGTTGTGTCCCCCGTGATGGCTGTCCCATATCCCATGTCCCATGTCCCATGCCTAGACCTTCCTGGTGGCACCTGCGCACTGTGGGAGTCCCACAGCTGCCAGACATCCCTGGCAGAGCAGGATTCAACCCCGGGAGGAGTGGGGACCAGCAGAGCACCCTGCTGCGGCCCCATGGCCCCGCACTGGGGGTCAGGGCAGGGAGGTCCCTGTCCTCTCCCAACCCCAGAGAAGAAGGAGCCATCCAGAGACCAGCTGGACCATCCTCATATTAAAAACTGCCAGATACACAATTATCTTACAAAATTAGAATTGCTCTTTTATTTCTGGTCTTTACAAAGGGAGCAGAACATGGCGGGGGGCCGGCGGGGGTTCCTTCCCTGCCGGGAAGGCTCAGCCGCGGGTGCCCCCTCCGTGCCCAGCCAGGGCCACTCTCGGCAGGACGTGGCATTGCCGGTGTCATCCAGCCCGGCCGGGATGCCCGAGGGCTGTTCTCCCCCGGGGAAGGGATGGACTCCATCCTCGGCACCCCCCTGTGCCCAGGGGATGGCATCACTGGGATGGTGGCCACTGGACCCCACACCCCACCTCCTCCCCACACCAAAAAAAAAAGACCCCGTGTCCCTGCTGAGAAGTCCCCTGTAGGGAGCGGGGCCACGGGGCCCTCTGACCGGGATGATGGGGGGCTGGGAGGGGACCTGCTGCAGGGGTCCCCTTCACCCGCGGGGCCCATGGGCCCATGGATAAATGCTGGGCCTTTCAGGGTGGGTTTTCCATTCTCCAAATGGCTCCAGGTCACAGCCTGCCATGGACGGACGGCTGTAGGTGGGCTGAGAACGTGCTGCACTCATCACACCCATGGGCTGGAACCCACTGCAGTGGTGCAGCAGGAGGGGACCTGCTGCAGGGGTCCCCTTCACCCGCGGGGCCCATGGGCCCATGGATAAATGCTGGGCCTTTCAGGGTGGGTTTTCCATTCTCCAAATGGCTCCAGGTCACAGCCTGCCATGGACGGACGGCTGTAGGTGGGCTGAGAACGTGCTGCACTCATCACACCCATGGGCTGGAACCCACTGCAGTGGTGCAGCAGGCCATGACATTCCATGGCATGTCTCCTGCCACACGGTGGTGGATGTCCTGCTCCCGCTGTGACGGGGCCATGTCCTTCACAAATACCTCCTTTCCGTGGGGAAGGGAGAAGTGGATCCTGCTGGAAAAACCCACCCTTGAGCCCCCAATCCTTAACCCCCTGAGGCAGGGCTGGAGGCAGAGGCTCTGCTCTCCTTGCCGGTGGCTGACGGCCACCCCGTCACAGGCCTCTGCCCAAGCTGGGGGTCTGCAGGGAGGTGAAGGCGGGTGCCCCCAACCATCCCTGGGTGCCAGAGCCGCCAGCCTGTTCTGCTCACGTCCAACCAAAAGACACCATGAGTAAGAAAAAGGAAAGCACCTGGTTCTTCCCTGGGAAGAGACCCCCCCTGTCCCCTACCACCCCAGGAAGTCCCTCACGTAGCTCCATAGCTTGGTGATCCACAGGTTGGCCCCCAAGTCAGTCAGATACTGGATTTCGGGTGTCAGCATCTTGCGGCACAGCTTCTGGTGCTTCTTGTTGATCTTCTTCTTCAAGTTGTAGCCCAGGATGGACTTCTCCCCCAGCGGCTGCCAAGGCTGCATGGAGGACTCTTGGATGGCACTGGCATCCACAGGGTGTCCCCCGTCGATGCAGATGCTCTTCATCTTCTCGTTCTCCCGCTGCAGCTCGGCCACATCCCTGGCCATCCGCTCCCTCCCGTAGGCCTCCACCTTACGCCAGAAGGTGACATTAAAATAGTGGTAGAGCCTGGCGTCGATGAGGTTCCAGGAGGTGGCCTTGTCGTAGAGCTCAGGTGTCAGCCGGGAGACGGTGGAGCCCTTGCGGGCGTTGAGCTTGAAGTAGAGGACATCCTCCAGCTCCCAGCACAGCAGGTCCTTCAGCAGCACCAGGGACTCGTCAAAGTACTCGAGCAACATGACGAGGTGGAAACGGCGATCGATCTCCTGGATGTGCTCATCCACCAGCGGGCTGTTGGCGTTCATGTTGTTGTCGTAGCCCAAGTCAAAGAAGAGGAGGTTTTGGAGGTAGTGAGCGTTGAACCCGGTGGGGTCGTAATAGTGCCAGGGGTCCCGGAGGAACTCCGCCAGCTTGTCCTCCCCCGACAGCTTCCAAGTGAGGGGGATGATGCGCCCGAAGTAGTGGAAAGAGGACTCGAAGAGGTAGGCAGGGTCCCGCAGCACCGTCACGAAGGTGGCGTCGGCCGGCAGGAGCTTGCGCACCTCCTCGTAGTGGAAGCGCATGTGGTTACAGATGATGTTGAAGCACGCGCCCGGCCGGTAGTGCTGCACCTGGCTGCGCTCAAAGTAGGAGGGGTAGTAGAAGTCATTGCGGCCTTTGGGGAAGGCGAATTTCAAGCGATGCTTCTCGCCGAAGCGGAAGAGGATGTTGAGGATGGTGCTGCTGGCCGTCTTGTGCGTCTTCATGAACATGATGTTCAGCTTGGGCAGGCAGCTCCGTCCTGAGGAGCTGCCCGTGCTGTTGGCCGCTGCCAGCATCCTGCTGGGGGCTGTGTAGGAGGAGCAGGAGGAGGGGATGGGGATCCTGGTGGGGACAAGAGACAGGACACCATGGGGAGGGCAGCTCAGGCAACGCGGAGGAGCTGGACCTGGGGACGGGTGCTCGCCCCCAGCACCCCCCAGGCTCCCCAGTGAAGATGAGTCTGGTTTTGGGCAGAGCCTCCCCTTGACCTCCAGCCACGTCTCCAGTGGGACCAGAGCACACACGCAGCAGGAGCCCCTTGGGCAGAGCCCACCACCCCACGAGCCCCCGCCACCAGATGCACCGCTGAGCCACCAAACCAAGCTTGTTCCCCCCCTGGACAACCCCTGCTATGGGGGGTCTTCATGGTGGTCAGCCCCCTTCAGCATCAGTGCAGCCTGAGCAGGGGGTCCCTATCCCTCCCCACGGGCATGGGTGTGGTGGCCCTGGTACAGGTGATGTTGGACTGGATGATCTTTAAGGTCCTTTCCAACCCAAACCCCTCAATGATTCTATGAGGTGGCTGTTGAGACGAGCTCTCTATGGCCGTAACTCCACGGATGGGGGCTGATAACATCCTTGTGAGGTCTGGAAGCTCTTAACCCCTTGTAGGAGCTGTGGAGGATCCAGCAGCCCAGCAAAGGAGGAAATAATTCCAGTGCGTGGCCCCGCAGATGAGTTCACGGGCCCTCAGGGAGCACCAAGGACAACTCGTGTGTTATCTGAGACTCCTGGAGCAGGGAACAGAGATCTCCGTGTCGAGTGACTTTGGACACCATTAATGCAGTTGCACAGCTGATCCCTGATAACGATCCCATCCGGCAGCGCGGGTCGGCACGTAGCTTATGAGCCGCCCGCAGGTAGAGCGTGTTTATAAGTTTGGAGGTAAATTTAATGCCAGGAAGGAGGGCTGGGAGCTGAGCCCTGCTGAGCGCTGGTGTTCGCCTTGACTTACATCAGAGCTTTGAACCCACTCGTGCCCATCTCTGTGGGTGAAAGTTTACACGTGGCAGCGCTCTGTGTGCTCTTGAAGGACAAACACCTGATAAAGAGTGCCCAAATCACTGCCTTGGCTCTGCCTGCTGCTCCTGCTGCCGGGGAACATCTCCCGGGATGCTTGTCCTCCTCACAGGGACACAAAGCCGCAGCAGGCAGGGGGTCTCCTGCACCTCCTCATCCCCTCCATTGCCCAGCAGCTGAGCTGGCTGCCATTGTGCAACCAGGGGTGAGCATCCCCAGCCCCCCCTGGGGAACTGAGGTTCACCTTCCCGCCATCCCTGGGGCAGGGCACAGTCTCCAACAGGAGGCTGTAGGAGGGGAATAGCTCAGTGTGAAGCCACCGGAGCTTGGAAAGCCCCGGGACCAGTGCTGGTTGGGGGTGCCCAGTGCGGAACAGGGGAGCCAAGCTGCCAGGGGGGACGTGTGGGGACCCCGCACTCACTCTGTCACGCTGACTTGCAGTGGGGGGACGGCGTAGGAGTAGAGCAGCAGCATGAAGCTGGTCAGGAGGGTCCCCAGGACGAGCCCCTTGCACATGGACCTCCAGTGCTTCCCATGGTGCAGCATTCTGTTCACCTGCGGCCAGTGGAGAGGAGAGCCGTTAGCAGCGGGGGACGCAGGAGTGGGGACCGAAGGGACAAGCAAATAAGGCACGGGGGCTTCTCACGGGCATGGGAAATCCCGGGAAGCATCTCACCAGGCATTTCAGCACTGGCATTGCCAGCAGAGAGGCGAGCCAACACCAGGAGTGTCCTGGCTGCAGGCACAATGGATCCATGGCCAAAAAACAATGGCTCTGCCCACGCTGCGCACCCTTCACCCACCCTGAGAAACCCAAAATGATTCCCCAGCCCCACGCAAGACCAGTGGGAGAGGCTGCAGGGCTGGAAATGCGGGGGAGAAAGGAGCTGCGCCATGGGGCATCCCAGGGCAGAGCAGGCACCCTCTGCCCGGCCGCGCCAAGCTCCCCCGGCACCGAAAAATCACAGAGATGGGCAGGAGCTTTCCAAGGGCAGCCTGGATCCCTTTTCCCAAGAAAACCTCCAGCTGGGATGAGGAGCTCCGTCAGCTCAGGATCTGGTCGATGCTGCGATATCCACCCAGCACAGCAATGCTGACGGCTCCCGCACCTTTGGGTGGCTCAGGGTGGGGGCCAGGGGGACGCAGCAGCAAAGGGATACGGAGCAGGATGTCCCCCCATGCACAACTTGACACACATACACATACCTGCACGCACAACTGCACACGTGCATCACGTGTGTGCGCATGCACGCAGTCAGAGCGCACACGGACACATCCATGCACACGCGTACGTGCACGTATGTGTATGGACACGCAGGGACACGGACATCAGTGCGCGCACACACAGCCTGGGACACAGACGCTCCTCTGTGGGTGGTCACGCGTGTGCACGCACACACATCTGTGCATGTTCACACACCCACACGCATCCACAGGGGCACATGCACACAAACACACGTATGTGCTCATGCGTTCCCCTCACACACAAGGGCACAGACATGCACGCACAGAGGGACACAAGCACCCCCTCCCCACACACACAGCGGGAGCAGACACATGTACGTACACACACACACACACACACCCCCTTGAGCATCCTCATGCACGCACAAGGACACAGACACACACGCATGCCTATACATGCCCACACATCCACACGCACACACAAGTACCAGGCAGCCCCAGCCCAGCCCCGCTCTCACCCCGCAGCCCC